TGTTGTATGTCCTTAGGACAATTTTTTTTTTTTTTTTTAATACCAGCTATATTCTCTCTGGGCAGTGTGAGGGAAGTGCCTCAAGCTGCCTTCCTGGAATTGACCTCTGACCCTTTATTATTTTTCACAGGGAAAAGTTAAAAAAAAAAATATATATATATATTTATTGTTTAAAGAATTACATATATTAGTACATATACCTCCTTTTTCCCCCCATTGACCTTCCCCCAGCCTCCCCTACCTCCTGTTGCACGCCCTCATCCCACCCCCAGTGCCTTGTGTTCATTGGTGTGCTTATATGCATGTGTACAAGTCCTTAAATATATTTTATGGATTTTTTTACAGAGAGGAAGGGAGAGGGAGAGAGAGTTAGAAACATCGATGGGAGAGAAACATCAGCTGTCCTTGACCTGAATCGAACCTGGGACCTTCAGTCCGCAGGCTGACGCTCTATCTACCAATGCCTGCAGCAGGGTGTCCGCCAGAGATTTTAGGGGCGCCTTCATCATTACAGCCTGTTTCATTCATGTGTACTACTTTTCAAGAATTTACTCCCTCCCTCTCTTCGGTTCTCACACTTCCTATCCCGCCTGCACCTGCTTGGGAAAGCAAGCTTGGGCTGCCCCCTAAAATGAGTGTTTTCCTTCAAACCACCATTATTTCCATCTCAAGTTCTGCTGTCCTTTCAGAGATGCCTTTGGCATTCGTCAGTGGGGTTTGGATTTTGACCCATGTTTGACAGGTGTCTTGTCCTTGAGGATGAGCCATTATGGCCTTTATGACAGGTGCCTTGAGGGCGTTATAGGCTGTGTAAACTCGTTAATCTTTCACCAACATAACAATATCCTTCAGCCTGGGCAGAAAAGCATGTGGCTGGTTCTTCCTCCTTAAAGCCACGTTGGCCTGCTAACATCCAGTGGCGGCTGCCACCACAGAGCGCCATCCCAGGACAAGCTGGACAGGTTCCTTTGTGGCAGTTGAGGGCCCTCCACGGCTTCAAGGGCACTGGCCTCTGGCTGTTAGGACCAGGGGACCACGCTGCCTGCTTGGAACCCCGTGGACTGCTGGGCTTTCAAAGCAAACAATGCCTGGCAGCCAGGCCAGCCATCGGTGGGCAGGGCAAGGGAGGCCTGGCTGAAAATAAGTCCCCTCTGTGCAGTTCCCTGAGTGCACGTCTATTTGTGCTTTGGGGCAACCTAAACAGCCGACTGCAGGCAGAGGAGACTAGTCCATAGCCCCACCTGCCCCTATACAACAGGGGAGACCAAGGAGTGCCAGTCCCTCCCACAGCGGTGAGTCAGGCTGCAGTCAGGACTCAGTGCCCCCTCCAGGGGACGCTCCTCCCTGGTCTGGAGTTTTCCTGGGAGCATTGAGGGCTGGCCCCACTCACAGAAGTTATAGGGAATCCCGCCCCGTCCGTGCTTGGTCAGCACAGACAAGCTGAGTCAGAGAAATGGGCCTCACCAAAGGTATTTATTACCCCACTGCCAGGGACTAGTGATAAGACAGCAAGAGGAACTGTCGCTGTCTTAGCATTTCATGTATTTCCAGTGGAGCGCTCTGAGGGCGTGGCTTCGAGACCAGGCTCCTGCCCCAGGGTGTGGCCCTGCCCTGCTCAGCGCAGCTACCTTCAGAACAGTGGTTACGTTCGTGAGGGACTGTATCATCCCACCGGTTGGATTGGCCATCTGTTGTTTCTTTGAGCAAAACACCTCACTCTCCTAGTCTGTCCCCGGGAGACTCAGGCCCAGGTCCTCAGCCATGAACAATCCTCTCCACACATTGCCCCCCTAGAGTAGAGGGGATGGTGTCCGCAGAGGCTGATCTGGGGACCACGGTTTGGGTCAATGGTCTGCCTATGAGTGTGGAGAACAGAGGCTCTTACCAGGCTGGCCAAACTTCAACAAAGCGACCATTGTTCCTTTGTTTACAGTTTATTTCAAAGAGAAATTGCCAATTAGAGTTTCTAACATGTTTTTGAAAGTAACGAATTCAGCCATAGTAAAGATCTTCGTTTGGGGTGGAAAAGTATTTGTTTTGGGTGGAAAAAATGACTTAATAAGCGGACTCCTTTTATGCGTAGAAACGGTGCTTACCCCTCTGCCTACTCCTCTGCCATAAAGATGAAACAATGGTTTTTGGTGGAGGCGGCAGATCATTCTTGTCTTAAAGCCTAATTATAGGAGAACAATTGAATGGTCTCAGGATAACAGCCGAAAAGTTAATGTCTTTCATTTTATCTTATTAGACGCCCTTCTGCCCTTGTCAGTAGCATGGATGCCAACTCCAGAGCCCAGGCCACTCCAGGCCTCACGGTGGCCACGTGAGGGGAGCCAAAGACATGCTGGGCCGCAGCTGCGGAGGACGGGGTGGGAGCAGATACACAGTCCTCCTTTCACAGTGGCCTCAGTTGATGCCTTTTTCTTTTTTCTTCTTCTTCTTCTTTTCTTCTTCTTCTTCTTCTCCTTCTTCTTCTCCTTCTCCTTCTTCTTCTTCTTTTCTTTCAAAGTTCCACTCATTTCATATTACATATTAAAATTTTAACATTCTGAACACAAAATGTTATAAAAGGGGAGTGGAGCCCTCATCTATTTCACAGAAGCCAGCCTGCCCTCTTTATAAGCATTTCCCGGGGAAAGTGGTCCAGCAAACTCATCCACTCAACTCCAGGAATATAGTTGTGACATGTTTACAGTAAAACTAGTTAAAATACCATTTTTACAAACAAGTTGTGCAAATGCTACTGACATGCCATCCAAATTTATTGTACTTTGAGATGGGTCTTACTCAGCAAGCTGTGGGCTCTGGCTGTCTTCCCACCTGCTTCCTTATTAACGGCTTACATAGTTAATAGCCATGCATTTTCAGGGCAGTTAACAACAGTGCCTGAAATGAGATAAAAACAGGAAAGGCACCACTCATTCCAGGAAAGGGACAGCTTCACTGCCTGGACCCCAACCCAGATGCAACCATCCGGGGCCAGACACCATCCTCTGCGGAGCATGAGCGTGATGGGTAAGTTATCACGAGACTTTCTTGGTCGCTTCAGGGGAACAACATTCACCAAGTAACACAAAGGCTGCACCCGCCACAAGAGCTCCTGCCACTCTGCTGCCACGTTCAAAATGACCGAGGGAAGCACCAGAGTCCTGTGAGGCATTTTATTTCCACCTAGGTATGACACCCCTAGAAGAAGAATCCCAAGATTTCCCCTCCTGTGTGTGTTCGTCTTGCTTCTTCGTGGTCCCTGATGCCCGCTGAGGTTGTCAGCACAATGAAACCAAGCAAGTTGTTCTGCCATTTTTCTAGATCTTTGAGTTGCCATCAAACCTGGGGCTGATGACTCCACACTTGTTCAACCTGCTTGTGGGGGTCACAACTATTTTCCCAGCTCTGGGATCATCAATAATTTCAAATTCGCCAATGTAACCATGCTTCATCATCACAGTCAGGAACCGGACGGTGACTTTGGAGCACGGCCTCATGAGAAGTTGGCGTTTGCCTCTTTTCGGCATTGTTGGTACTCTTCAGAGCATCAGCCGGGACATCCCTATGCACCATTGTGGCGGCACAGACCGATGGTGGAAACTCAATCGTTGCCTTTTTCTTCTGCTGGACATAGAACTCAAGGTTGCCAACACCAGGCTGTCTTGACTACTCTAGTTTCATAGTCCGTTTTTAAGTCCTTCCCTTTAACATTGCATTGGATATTCTCAATCTTTTGCCTTCCTACACAAATTTTAGGATCACATCAATCAATATTAACTTGCTAGGATTTTGATTGGTATTTCACTGCATCTCTAGATCTAATTGGGAAGTTCGGACCTCTTGACAATATTGAGCCTTCCTATGCATGAACATGGAATATCCCTGCATTTCTTGAGGTTTTTCCATTAGAGTTTTATGGTGTTCCTCATATAGATCTTGAGTAGATTAGATTAATATCTAAGTATTTCTTTTTTTGGTGCTAAGGTAAATGGTACTGTGTTTTTAATTTCAATATTCATTGCTTGGCGTCTAAGATAGTGATTGTCTTTTGTACATTAATTTTGTATCTTGCAACCTTGCCGTAATTGCTTATTATTTCCAGCAGGGATTTTCTACAGTTACAATCTTCTTCTTTGTGAATATAGTTTTACTTCATCATTCTCCAAGTTGTATACTTTTTATTTCCTTGTAATTCACATTTTTTAATATAGCTTTTTAATTTTTAAAAATATATTTTATTTTTTTATATATTTTTTTTTACAGAGAGGAAGGGGGAGGGATAAAGAGTTATAAATATCAAATGAGAGAGAAACATTGATCAGCTGCCTCCTGCACACCCGTCACTGGGGATGTCCCGCAACCAAGGTACATGCCCTTGACTGGAATCGAATCTGGGACCCTTCAGTCCACAGGCCGTTGCTCTATCCACTGAGCCAAACCAGTTAGGCAATAGTATTTTAACATTGTTCAAATCTTAGCATTTTACTACGCACTATCTCATTCTGCAATTATTTTAGTCATATATGTTTTTTTTTTTTTTTTTTCAGTATGATTATATCTATATTTATTCCACATGACAATTTCTTAATGTATTACTCTGATATATATTTTTGAACTGGAGCCATATACAAAGAAATAATGAGAAATCGTTTAAAAATATTATTCACAAGTCAAATTATGCTTAAAAATTAAAAGGTCTATGGAAAACAAAGTGTAGGCAAGAAATATTGGAAGAAATTCTTACACAAATAATAGCTGTCTTGTCTTATAACACAAAATAAAAACAAAACTTCCTACAATTATACTCACAGATCTAAATTAGTTGAACTAGTGACAAAGTCAAAGCTAGTCTTTCATTTGCACATTCATTTGATAAAAGAAATCACATTGAAAACAAAAAACACCAAAAAAACAAAACAAAAACAAAAAAAAAACCCTCCATGTGTTCCAGTGCAGAACTGGTGATTCCTCTCAGCACTTAAATGAAGACAACTGTTACACAGCTCTTTTTAAAAGAAAGCAGTAGATCCAGAAAACTGACAGAATGTTACTCATAAAATTCCATAAAAGCAGCCAAGAGTTGATGGCATTTTAGGACAGTAAAAGACTGTACTGTTTATACCCATTGATGGGCTTTGTGCCAACATTTTAAAACTATGCTTTTCATCAACTATAGACGAAACATTGAGGATATACAATATTACATCATACCCCAGGACAGAGTTATTACATCTGTATAAAGAAATCACTAAAGAGTTACTTGTTATTTTAAATGAAGTCCTGTCTAGGCATCAGACTTTAATCTAAATGATGACAGCCTAATTTCAACTCCCGAGATAAACAAAAATAGCTTACGTATCAAGATTAATTCTCTTTGGCCGCAACGGATACCATTTTCTCTGGGGGCAGTCTTTAGTTTGCTTTCTTTTCAGTACCACGTTAGTGGTTTTGCTGGTAGAAGTCTCTGTTGGTGTGGTTTCTATTTGTGTTATAAAGTTCTCAGGTTTAGCATCTGGCTCCTTATAACCACTGGAAAAGACTTCTTGGTGGATTCTCTGGAGTTGGATAACAGGCTGCATCTTTAACACTTGGGAAAATCCATCTCCTTGTTCAATTAATGCAGGCAAGGACTTCATGGCTTCACTGATCTCCTTTGCTACTGTTTCTCCTCTGCATCTCAAATTTTCCACACGAGAGGCAGGATCAGGGTCATATTTTAGGTCCACTGGGTGTACAACAGGGTGGTATTCTTTCAGAATTTCTTGTTTTGCTTTTATAATTTTTATGACACATTCAAGGATCTTTCTGGGATACTGCTTACGTTTCGTGGCTAAGTCTACTATGATTTCATCAAAGTGATCTTCAAGTTCTTTGATATCAGAATCCCTGAAACAATCATCTGAAGCTTCTTGCCATGCCTGCCCATTAATGCTGACATTCTCTTGCACAGCAGATTCAAACGTCCACTGCGCGTCTCGCAGCGCGGGCTCCCGAACCTCCGCCGGCAGCGCGTCCCCGAGCTGCCGCACGAAGCGGCCGCACAGCTCCATCAGCTCCAGCACGGCCTGCTTCGAGGTGCAGCGCACGCGGAAATCCTCCCGCGGAGTGGCGGCGGGGCCCGCGGCGCGGTCTTCTGTCCCGGCCACGCTCTCCACGGCCCGCGGAAGCGAGAGGCTCCCCAACTCGGGAGCCCCCGCCATTTTCCTGGTTTTCTGCAATTATTTTAGTCATATATGTTTTATATGTACAATTATACAGTAATCTTCCAGTAGAGAGAAATGTCTTTTTAAAATATGTGGTTTTTTTTTAATTGATTTCAGAGAGGGAGAGGGAGACAGAAACATCAATGATGAGAGAGAATCATGGATCGGCTGCATCCTTCATGCCCCTATTGGGGATCGAGCCCACAACCTGGACATGTACCCTGACCAGGAATCAAACTATGACCTCCTGGTTCGTAGTTCCACAACACTGAGCCACACCAGCGGGGAGGGAAAAGTGTCTTTTTAAAAAAATCACTAATTGTTTTTAGCACACTACAGATATAACAAAAATTCAGGAAATGTTGTTTGTTGACTGATTCATTCAAGGGCCTAATAGGGACATTGAAGTCAATAATAGCACAAGTCATTCCTTCCTGAGTGCTTATTTTTGGTGTTATATAAATAAATCATTTTGAAAGAAATCAGAAATAAATATTTTTTTTCCATCTTGACAAAAATTAAATACTACCCTGTTTCCCCGAAAATAAGACAGTGTCTTATATTAACTTTTTTCTCCCAAAGTTGCGCTAGGTCTTATTTTCAGAGGATGTCTTATCTTTCCATGCACTAGGTCTTATTTTCAGAGGATGTCTTATTTTCGGGGAAACACGGTAGTATAATACCTAAGACAATTTAAAATCTGCTATGTTTTCTCTAGATTTCCCTTTTGTTTGTTAATACTCACCTGAGGATATTTTTCCCCATTGATTTTTAGAGATTGGACAGAAAGAAGGAAGGAGTGGAGAAGAGGGGAGAGGAGGGGAAGGAAAGGGAGGGAAGAGGAGGGGAGGGGAGAGAGAGGAGAGAGGGAAACATTGATGTGAGAGCACATCTATTGGTTGCCTCTCCACACACCCCATACCTGCAACTCAGGTACCTGCCTTTGACTAGGAATCGAACCCATGACCCTTCAGTACATGGGACAATGCTCTAACCACTGCACCACACTGATCAGGGCTCCAGATCCCCTTTTATATTTCTGAAAGACGTCCTCACTACAGAAGATGGAGTATCTAGTTTAGTATGTGCATATGTATGCGTAGGGAGAGAAATGGTGATAAGAGGGATGGAGAGGGCTTTTCTCTTTTCTTTTTAATAGGTAAGCATATGTTATCTTTCACCCACAGACTTCAGAGCAGCAAAAAGCTAGATCATTTCTGCCGTTGGACCTTCAGATGGAAGGTGGGCTGTCCCTCATTCTTTGCTGGCTGCTCACTGTCAGGCTGAGTTGGTGGGGGGGCTATCCGCATGGAGGGTTGCTGGTTGGATTCTACAGCTTGAGAACTCCGGCCTTTGGTAACAGTCACGCCCTTCTCCAAGCCCAGGGGAGGGGTCTCCCATTTGCCCACAACAGGTTTCATGTCTTTAGTCTTTACGGCACTGATCGCAGAGCACGCTTTCCTTTTCTTGTGTCCTCTGAAAAGGGACAGGCTTTCACACGACTTCTGGGACACAGACTGGAGCCTCTCTGAGGAGCTGGCCAGGAGGTTCCTTTGGCCTATGAAAGGGAGGGTGTTGGATGGCGCCCAGGATGCGCTGTATCTCTTTAAGTGTACATAAGGAGCTGAGTTTAGCCTAGAAAAGAAAGGAAGTGCCTGAGTTTTTGCCCGGCATATATCCTAGGGACTTGTAATAGTATAAGTCTATTTTTCCTCCTTTGGTGAGTTCATCCTCCCTTAAGACTTTTACCACTATGTCCCTGTTATGCCTCCAATTCTGTATTTCTAAATGCCTAGAAGCTGTGTTTACTCAGAAACCTGCCCTGACCCCAGGCTTCCTGGTATATTAATGGGCACTCTGGGTCTCAGCTACTTATTATACACCTAGTGGAAGGAAATGTCCTCTAACTTTTCACAAATCTAATCTGTTTATTCTATTATAATGAGCTCAGTATACACACTCTAAGTTTCCTCTATGGTCAGTAAAGAGATCACTGTACATCCAAGAAAAGGTAGTTTTCCTTGAGAGAAGGAGATTTTATAAATTACAAGTTGCAGTTGCTTTAAATACCTCAGCTTTCTTTAGAATCCCATTTTTCATCACAAAAAAATCTCAATTATTTTTTTAGTTAAAACATTAATTTTGAGCCTGGCTGGCATGGCTCAGTGGTTGAGCATCGAACTATGAACCAGGAGGTCACTGTTTGATTTCTGGTCAGGGCACATGCCTGAGTTGTAGGCTTGACCCCCAGTGTGGGGCATGCAGGAAATAGCTAATCAATGATTCTCTCTCATTATTGATGTTTCTATCTCTCCCTCTCCCTTCCTCTCTGAAATAAAAAAAACAAGAAACCAAAAAACGTTTTGAGATGACTGCAGACTCATTGACAGAAGAAATAATACAGGGAGGTCCCATGTATCCTTCCCCCCGTTTCCTCCAGATGTAGTATCTTGCAAAAACAATAGTACAATATAATCAGGATATGCTAGTAGCCATTGACATTGTTGAGGTTCAGAACAGTTCCCTCCTGTTCCCTTTTGATGGACACACTCCACTTTTCTCCTTGACCAGCTCCTCAACTCCTGGCAGTCATTAACCTATTGTCTGAATTATATAACTTTATCTCAAGAATGTTATATAAGCAGAATCCTACCATGTGTAACCTTTGGGACTGGCTTTTTTCACCCCGCACCACCCTCTGAATAATTGATCCAGGTTGTTCTGTGTATCAGCCATTCACTCCTTATTCTTGCTGAGTCGAGTCCATGGACAGGCTGTACTACAGAGTGTTACTAATTCCTCCATTGGAGGACATGCAGATTGCTCCCAGTTTGTGGCTATTACAAATTAAGCTACTATAAACATCCGTGCCCAGGTTTTTGTGTGAATGTAAGTTTTCATTTCTCTGGGATTAATGCCTAGGAGAGCAATTTCGGGGTTATATGGTAGTTATAGTTATACTAGTGGCCTGTTGCACAAAATTCGTGCCCGAGGAGGGGTGTGTCCCTCAGCCCAGCCTGCACCATCTCCAATCTGGAACCCCTCAGGGGATGTCGGACTGCTGGTTTAGGCCCGATCCTGCAAACCAGCAGTCAGACATCCCTCTCACAATCCAGGACCACTGGCTCCTAACTGCTCGCCTGCTTGCCTGCCTGATTACCTCTAGTCTAACCGCTTCTGCCTGCCAGCCTGATTACCCCCTAACCACTCCCCTGCCTGCCTGATTGATGCCCAACCGCCCTCCTCCACTGGGACCTGCCTCCTCCACTGGGACCCGCCTCCTCCACTGGGACCCACCTCTGCCGCAGGAAGCAGCTGAGACGTTGGGATGGGTCTCCTCCACACCATGGGACCCCCAGGCCTCACTTTGCGGAGCAGCCACCAGGCCCCGCCTCGCTGTGCACGTTGCCATCTTGTGGCAGCCATCTTGTGATGATATTGCATGTGAGAACCAATTAGGCTTTTATTAGTATAGATATTGGGTTCTTAAATAAACTGTAAACCTGTTTTCCAGAGTGGCTGGGCCACTTTACATTCCCACAAGCAATGTATGAGTGACCCAATTTCTTTGCACCCTTCTCAGCATTCAGTGTTGTTGGTGACAGGATGTAAGCTGACAAGGTCCTTGCATCTGAAGGGGCTAGCAGGGCTGGCCCCCTACCCACACAGTATTTCCCTGACTTGTTTAGATGGCGATTATCAGTAAAATGAGAGCAACCTTTCATGGCTTGCCAAGAAGTCTGTAACTATTTTCTGAGTTTTACTGTACTAAGAATTTGTCCTTCAGTTCTCTCTCTCCTTTAGAGATTTAAGAGGAACGAAGGATACGTTCCTCTGGACAGACCTCCTAATTCGTGCCTTGTGTATAAAAAGCATTACGCAGTGAATAAACTTGCTAGAGTTCCTTGATGGCTTGTAGTCCTCCGGACCCCGCTTTCCTGTCTCTCTTTCTTTTCTCAATTCCCACCTCCCTACCTCAGCCCGGTTGAACCTGCCAGGCAGGCCCTGGCACAGTGTTACCCTATTTTTTAATTTTAGCCATTCTGATAGTGTGCAGCTCTCTCATTGCAGCTTTAATTTGCATTTCCCTAATAGTTCATGATGTGGAACTTGTTTTTGTGTGGTTATATGCCATCTGTATGCTCTGTTTGGTGAAATGTGTTCCTCCTACATTTTGCTCATTTTCTGAATGAAATATTTATACTGTTACATTTTGAGACTTCTTTAATTTAGATACAGTCTCTCTCTCTCTCTCTCCATATATATATATATTTATTTCAGAGAAGAAGGGAGAGGGAGAGAGAGAGAGATAAAAACATCAATGATGATAGAGAATCATTGACTGGCTGCCTCCTCCACACACCATATTTGGGATTGAGCCCACAACCTGGGCATGTGCCCTGATTGATCTCGAACTGAACTGTGACCTCCTGGAACATAGGTCACCACTCATGCTGGCCGGGCAACATACCAGTCTTTTTAGGCGATTTGCAAATATTTCCCCCCCAATTTTATAGGTTTTTATCCTTTTAACTGTGTCTTTTGAAGGGCAAACACTGTTATTTTGATGAAATCTAACATCTACTTTTCTTTATGGATTATGCTTTTTGCCCAAATTCTATAAAGAGTTCCTATTTTTTTCTAGAAGTTTTATAAATTTATGTTGTGCAGTTAAATCCATGATCCATTTTCAATTATTATTATTACTTTTGTATAAGAGATGAGTTTAGGTCAAATTTCTTTTTCTTTTTTTTTCTTTTTGCCTATGAATATCTAATTGTTCCAGCAACCTTGGTTGAAATTTCTATCTCCCCATTATTGAATTGCTTTTGCACTTTTGTTAAAATTCATCAAGCATTTGTATGGGTCTATTTCTGGGCTCTCTGTTTCGTTGCACTGATATATATGTCTGTTCCTCCTCCATACTACTCTCTTGATTGCAGTGGCTATATACCAGCACAGGGTGTTGACATCAGATAGATTGGTGCTTTCTACTTTATTATTCTTTTTCAAAATTGTTTCTTTTTTCTTTGGTTCTTATAAACAATACTGAGATGAACATCACTACAGAAATCCTGTTGCCTATATCTAGTTTTTATTTTGTCCTTAGGATCAATTTCTAAAAGTAGAATTTCTTATTAAAATGAATATAAATATT